GGTACATCGTCCCGCGAGGAGAGTATGTACTTATCTACCGGAAGTGAGGGACTTCTTTCCAAGTTATTGTATTTCGAATTGTTTTTGTTTTTTATTATAACTGAGAATGCACGGGGATACGTAGTGCTTGATACTGTCGATAACTAATTAGCTTGATAAGTGGAAGCGATTAACGAGATCGTCGATGCACATTGAAATAATAGTGAAAAATGAATTTCTAGGAATCGACAAGTCCGAAAATCAATAAGAGAAACGAAATTTCGAAGATTCGTGGAAAATTTTTGTTAAACGGAGATACGACTGTACGATAGCGAGTTGCGTTCAGGTTGGCCTAGTGGCAGGAAACGCAGGTGTAACGGGGACTACCCTCCCAAGGCAGGCAACCCTATGCTAAACTCGGATAAGTGCATAGCGCCTACCTGGATACAGGTCCGACTTTAGAATATTTCAGTACTCTAAGATAAGGGGGGGCGTATATCGTAATGGCGTCAGGTATAGTAAACAGTTACAGGTAGCCGTGGCAGCCGTCTGCCGTCTGCCATCCGTCCTGGCTTTCCCATTGAAAAACTTGGAAAAGGGGGACCCAAAGTTAAATTCCTCGAAATATTATCTCGGGCCAGAGAAGCAAGCGACTCCCGATGTGAAGCTGGACAAAGAGCTGGGAAGGAATGAAAAGGAAAAAAAATAAATAAAGAAAGAGAAAATGAGCCAGGAGACGTAAGTTTGGCGTAGGTTGTTGCGGCAGGGGTTCTCAATCGATGTCAGAAAGCTTCCAACAATAACAGTGTAGACAGGGGGTTGACAATGGATGACGGAGAACCGGAATGTTCTTGCATGAAAAAGGAGCGTCGAAGGAGACTTGATTGCGTCGACAGTGGTTCTCATCTCCACGTGAGACGAATTAGAATAGCTACGATAGGAGGATGAATGTATAAACGATCGAAGCGATCGGGATGCGGATAGACGGATTGGTAAAACGAATCTTCGAATGTATTTAACCTTGGCATTGGGAACAGTGGCTCTCAATCGATCGTGACAGGAATTACAAACATAATTAATTTAATCACCGGAAAGACCGAAACACCTCGGCCATATCGAGTCGGTTATTTATATTCGGGATATTCCGAACCTATCGAAAGACTAACGTGGGAAGATACGATTATTCCTTTCATCGTTTTCCTTGGCTGGAAACAGCACCGAGATGCTCCATTTCCCAGACGCTTGTTCCTCGTTATAAAAATTCGAAAGTACTGAGCCCGCGAATACCAACATAACGACGTTATGAATACACGCGTTCGCGGATGGGCGGACGAAGGAAGCGTCTCTGAGAAAAGCAACTGATTTAGATGAATGTTCCGTGATAATTAATTAATTAATCATACAATTAATGGCTGCACTGTCATAGTCATTTGGTCCACTTATTCCTCGTGCAATTTTACTATAAATCTGAACTGCTAAGATTTCCTCTATCCGAAAGCTGAAATTCGTCGCGAAAGGAAAGTCTAGCATAAAGAAAGCGTCGCTTTGAGAGTTGCGATTTCCTTCGCGCGGCTTGTGCTTTCGCCACTTTCGCAATGGAATTTCGACAGTTACTAGCGTATATATGCGGAATTCGAATATTTAACGATACAACATATGTAGCAAGTGGTATAAATTTTTATCGCATAATACCCTCAATAGTTCTACTGGATACATAACATCGAGAGAATTCACGTAATGCACGAAGGACGTCGAATTGGAAGAAAATGAAGGAAAATCGTGCGTTAGATTCGAATCGAGAAAAGAAACTCATCGGCGACGAGACCCGCCGTAGAAATCCTCTCCGAGATCCGCCCGAAGAATTGACTTACGAACGCATAGGTATGTATTTACGTAGGCACGCATGTAATACGTACGTTCGAATGATTGGTCCGCACAATGGGCCACAGGCGTGTCACTCGTTCATTCGCTAGTCCCGTCATCCCCATTATGTTCCGAGTTTTTGTATTTTTTAATTTGAAAGAAGAATACGTGGTCGGAACAGGAAACGCCATGGGAGAGTGAGCAATCGGTATTCTCCGCTTGTGACACGCCGCGACGGGCAACCCACTGGGTACTACACTATATTACGGCAGACTTTAGTACAGTAAGATGTACATGCAGTATAGGAGCTATGACAATCAAATAGAGTCTGTAGTATATATCGATATAGTTTAACAATAATATTTACGTGCATTATTACGTACGGACTGGTGACATCTTTCAGTCAGGTCTTAACAGAGCACTTTGATACTTATATCATAGTCAGTCTACGTGCATTAAATTGAAAACCCCCTCTAAGGCCAGGAATCGATTTTGAATCCCTATAAGATTTAAGTGGGTCTCGCGTGACACTCGCTCCTGATCGGATTCTGACGCTGTTGCGGGGTGGGCTCTAGATGGCCCTGGCCACAGCCCTGGGCTCTCTGACAACCGAGCTCAAATATAGCGGTTGAGAGCCAAGAGGTGAAATCAATGTGTGCGAGGCACATATAGGATGCGACACCGCCTCGTACTTCAAGACTCGATAGCTGATCGGTGATGATCGGCCAGCACGGCATATCAGTACGTAAGTCATAATGCGAGGTTAGGTTAGACTGACTGTCTTACAAACAAGCCCAGCCAGCGCCGGTAAGGAATGCCTCTTTCTATTCCAGGCTTGCATCCTGTCTACGGGGTACGGTCGTTTGGAGACGTCAGGTGACGAGGTGAGAGAGTGTCGGTCCTGCCACACGTTTTACATCGAATTACGAGACATGGCTTCTCTTTAAGGTCTTGCAGCAGAGACGACGTTAGGCGGTTGATGCAAATGATTATTCTACGTGGAAAAATGTCGTAGCTGGTAACTCGAAAGTCTTAAACGTTTCAGCGCGACAAAATCGAACCTTGCGGACGAAGTACCAATGGTGATAATTTCGAACACGGTGCTCGCGTCATACTCGACAGTTATGTTCCTTATCAAAAGAAAAGATACGACGGTGCGAGCAGCTCTTATTCATAGAGACTAGCGGCAGGA